GCGTCTGAAGGGCCTGAAACGTGCGTCTGAAGGGCCTGAAACGTGCGTCTGAAGGGCCTGAAACGTGCGTCTGAAGGGCCTGAAACGTGTGTCTGAAGGGCCTGAAACGTGCGTCCTAAGGGCCTGAAACGTGCGTCTGAAGGGCCTGAAACGTGCGTCTGAAGGGCCTGAAACGTGCGTCTGAAGGGCCTGAATCGTGCGTCTGATGGGCCTGAAACGTGCGTCTGAAGGGCCTGAAACGTGCGTCTGAAGGGCCTGAAACGTGCGTCTGAAGGGCCTGAAACGTGCGTCTGAAGGGCCTGAAACGTGCGTCTGAAGGGCCTGAAACGTGCGTCTGAAGGGCCTGAAACGTGCGTCTGAAGGGCCTGAAACGTGCGTCTGAAGGGCCTGAAACGTGCGTCTGAAGGGCCTGAAACGTGCGTCTGAAGGGCCTGAAACGTGCGTCTGAAGGGCCTGAAACGTGTGTCTGAAGGGCCTGAAACGTGCGTCTGAAGGGCCTGAAACGTGCGTCTGAAGGGCCTGAAACGTGCGTCTGAAGGGCCTGAAACGTGCGTCTGATCGGCCTGAAACGTGCGTCTGAAGGGCCTGAAACGTGCGTCCGAAGTCGCGTCAACGGCCCCTGGCGTCGCCAACCTGTTTCTGCGTTGAATACAAACGATGGTACCCCCCCCCTCCCACCTGTAATCTTAACACTCGAAATAGATTAAAGCTATCCCCCGTTGCAATGACAAATTCCTATGGTGGATTTTGAAAAACACCGGAAAATCGCTAATTATTAATAACTTATTGTTGCACATTCTTGTATGACAAGTTTTATGGTGTTGTTACAATTTTTTGTGTGTTTTAAATGTGTTTACTCGATGAAATTGCCATAAATAAACATACACGTAGACAAAAATATATACCCTATTTTAAAAAGTTACTGTATTTACTGTACAATACCACTCCAATCTCGAAAACTCTGCATGGGGTGACGTATATACGTGCAGTATTTCCATTGTTTAAGTTGTATGTAGTGTATAACGTACTGTATATAATATTTAACACTGAAATCAAGCATAGCTACTTTTATTGTCACGCACATGGTGATGATGGCTGGACTGGTTACAGCCTTTGGAGCGGTTTTGCCGGTTTCACCGGAATGGCCCGGACTGCCAGATGATGTTAGAAAGCGGATAATCGCAAGCCGGATAATCGATGATCAACTGTAACTGTATGGATCCTGAAGGGAAGATGGATTGAGTCGACCTTTGACCGGGATTTGAACTCGCGATCTTCCGATCGTGAGCCACATGCTCTTACCACTTGGCCACTCGGCAGGATAATCTTCCACTAAAATAATACAATAAGCGGGAAAAACTTACAGGCCTTTGTCAATACACTGCTGGATGAAGCCCCCCCCCCATGAAATGGCAGTAATGGGAGTTGTTTGGACATACTTCACCACACTGGTCAGTACAGATTTGTTCAAGTTTGGCAGTGGGGCGGGGTGGGAGAAACCAGGAGCGGTTCAGATATCACTCGCTTCTCATGTTAGCAGTGGTTGGGAATCGAACTTGGGTCGCAGGGTTCATCGTGTGCTCGCGCTAACCACTGCGCCACCACTCCACCCCACTCTTGTATTTATTATTTAGTGAAGAGCAAATCAAATGAACCGCATTACAGCACCACTCTCAACACTGGCAAACGCTCTTTTTTGTATTTTTTTCTTTCTTTTTGTGTAAACCCACACAAGCTATTTATACTAATTAGCTACCTATGCAAGATGTATCTATTAATCTAATTTGCCGATTTTTTTTTTCATGCCGGTGGGGAAATATCAGTAACAGTGTGTTATTAAGGAAAGCCTGCTGCTACCGTGATGATTATTAAAGTGGCACGTCTCACTGAATCTGACAGCGTGATTTAAGAAGCGCATGCACAGCTTGGTAAACAACAACAACAACGACGATGCAGCATGTTTACCCAGGGAGGGCCTGAGTCTCAAATACTCTTCTCCGGCAGGGTCCTGCGCATTCGGCTTACTTTGGACTCATGCGAGGAGAGAGCCGGAGCGTGACATTTGACAACCGACACGTACCAGTGTGTACGTGTCTGACGTCTCGTGCCACTACGCTGACGGACACCTCATCGTCGTCGTCATCGTCATCGCCAAAAACGACAATCGGTTCAGCGATCTGACGTGCGTCCACATAGGCACGTGACGATCCAGACAGCATGCAACTCGTAGGACAATTATGATTCTGGGTCACACGATTAAATTCCCGAATTATTTCTCCCGGGGTCTTATTTACAACCAACTCCTTTATAACTTATGTCTTGTAAGCTCTCTCTCTCTGTGATCGCTGGGTTCTTCAGAGCGCAGTTCACAGTGGTTAGTGCACTGCGCTAAATCCCGGCAATTCGAGTCCAATTCCTGGCCACAGTTAACATCGGTGGGTGAGCAGCGATGTCTGAACCGGTCCTAAACCTCTCCCCTCTCTTCAGCAACCCACACTAACCAGCGTGGTGAAGTATGAACAGCCTTACACGGCATAGGGAGGCCTCCATCAAGCCATGAATTGACATATAATTGTGAATGTATTACTTCGTATGCAGTTTTTGCGGTATGTAGTCTCGTTGGTTCAGTCTAACGTTTACCACGAGCGTATCATTTGCGGAAACATTGGTAAATAAGACTTTTACACAGTTAACTCAGTGGACGCGTTGCGAGCACAGGGATCGATTTAAATTTCCGAATTGACGGATCGTTTACAAACACAGTCGGCCATCAGAAAACACACAAACCATAGCAGGGGCTCGAAGGGTGAAATTTTAGATGCCTCACTCACTCAGCAGCGGAGGCTTCTGGGAGTGAAGGATGCTGGGCACGCTGACCAGGAGCTTCCGCGTGGGGAGTTCTGGGAGACTTAAAAAAAAAGAAAACATCGAGAGGATGAAGTAAAATCAGTCGTCAACGATGACATTGCCAGCATTACACTTACACACGATCTTTGGTGAAAGATGATCGACGGCTTGTGCATCAGATCTTATTTATTCACGATGTACTTACAAAAAATTCAGCAGACTACCTGCTGGATCTCCTCACTGTTTCAAAGAACAAATGTGACATAAGGTTCTTCGCTCATTTACCAGCTTCACATTCCCTATTGCGTACAAAAACTGGAGGAAGGGCCTTTGCTATTGATGCCCCCAGGGTCTGGAATGCTATCGCTAATAAACTGCAACTTGGATCACTACCTGTGAGACCTTCACTCAAAACTGCACTAGGGGAGTTGTACACCCCTAGCTGCCACTGCTATTCAGTGGCCTGAAATCAAATGTATCGCTCCGGATGACCGCTGCAAAGTATGATCTTGAGTTTTGATTATAGTGTGCTGATGTTTAAAGGTGCATTGAAAAATGTTGATACTCCTGTTATGGAATGACTCATGCTGCCAGTTGTCTGTAAAGTTTGGTCGTACATGTTATGTATATCGTTTATTGTTAAATTTGAATCACAGTTCCTGTGATAACTGTTACGTTGTTTTTATAGCTTTATTTTGGTGATTTCGAAAACGTTTTGGATTATCCCTATTTGTTTGTTGTTGTACAGAGTTAGATTGATAACTTTAATCAAAATTTTCTTATGGTTGTTATTGTTTGACTTTGCATCCCACTGGGATTTTTGCACACAGAATTGATATACGGTGCTTTTTCTGGAAGAGTTTGCTGTTTTTTCCTGGATTTTTCTGTTGCGCGTAGTCACTTTAAGATGTTTTCTTGTTCATGTTTTTGTTTGTTGTGGTTGCACCCGATTCAAGAGCCGAATGGCTCACAGGGCTATACCTAATACATGAACTGAAACTAAATTAACTGAAATGTGAATTACCCTCCAAGTCTGCCAAGAGCACCCCGAGGTACAACGAGCTTTCGAATTATGGGCCACAAATAAACGCCATTTAAAATATAAATATATTACTTGTCTCACGTTGCCAAAAGCTCTGAAATGTTAAACGCCATGGACAGCAAAGGTCCACAGGCAAATTATTATAACTTTGTGTTCATTCTCAGCTCTTTTTTTTTACCGGCAAATAATGTCTTGTCGACTTGCATGCCATGCAGTGTTCGTCATTAGAAACTACGCAAATGACTGGTTCGCAGTGGCTATGTGTCCATAATAAAGGTTTTTGGGTTAAATCGTGTAAAAAAATGTGTCGTTAAACCAGCCACCGCCCGACGCAGCCAATTAGTAAGGTTTGTCGCATAAACAGAACGTGCCAATTCGTTACTAGTACAGCACGCCGGTTGTGTGTTGGAGAGTAAACCCACAACATTTACAATTCGGCTACGTGTATCTGTAATCCAGACCTAGAAAAGTGCCGTTGATGGAACAAACGAAAATCACCACTCAATTTATTAAAAAAGATAAAGGTGCAGTCCTGTAGTTGCTGGCTCACACCACTGCTGGTAAAAGAGTCTCCCACGAGAGGGAGCTCACGAGCGTCCCTACCGAGAGCAATTGGCCTACTCTTCCACGCTGCCAAGACATCTCAGAAGAGGTGGGGAGTACCCACGCTGTTCCCCACCACGCGTGGACCTGCCGATCGACTGCGGTGAACCCATTGTATGCTGCTGGGCGGGCAGAGGCCCTGTTTCAACTGCCCCGCCGGGAGATCAAATCGAGGCGGCGACCGCCGCGTTGTAAGCGCCAGCGTGGTAAATAGCGCACCCCAGCAGAGTTACGGTAACAGCACTACGCAGGGAGGGCCCATTGCCCGAAATATACAAAAGGCAACATTCTGGGCAATAGCGATTGTCCAGAACGTTGCCGATTACTTACTAACTTGCGATATTTTTGTTTTCCTTTCAAGGCAATACATAGTATCGTCTGCTTTGGGTCTTTCGGTAAAGTCACGTAGATAGGTTCAAAGAAAATAACGAAAAATTAACAACAAAGGACGACGTTTCGATCGCAACACGAGCGTTTTTTTTTTATTTTCTTCCCGATGACGAACGCTTGTGTTGCGATCGAAACGTCGTAGCTTTTTGTTATTTTTCGTTATCTTATTCGAACCTATCTGCGTGACTTTACCGAGAGACCCAAAGAATATGAATTCCTGCGGCCACGAGAGCTTTAAGTTGAGCAGTATCGTCCAATAAGACATTTATTGCAATTCGAGCAGCTCAATTGCGAATCGTCCAATTGCAAAGCCGACATCACCACCGGCGCTGTGAAAACAATTCGTCGAGATCGTACTCTACTGGGAACCTTACGTCCGTGAGCCCAGTTTGGACCCCCCTTCATTGGGGTCCCTCGCCGTGCCGAACTCGGGCTGCGCGTCGCGGAACTTTTTCAATCCCCCCCTCCGCTCGGTGATCGTCGCTTTGTAGCGGACTCGCGTTAAAGAGTTTTAATTAAAAAAAAAAATGTTTTTTAATAAATATTTTTGTCATAATAACTTCTTACGGCGGTAATTTCACACGGGTTTCTGTGGGTTTGCGAGTACCGCTCCATGTCTGGCGTCGCTGCGACCCGTCCCAGCACCAGCGTCTCGTACGGCTTCTTGTGCGGCGAGTCCAGCGGGAAGACGAACTCCCCGTGGCTCGTCACCTACGCGTGGGAGAGCGACCCAATGCGTCGCGCGGGGACGCATTGGGGGAGGAGGGGGCTTACGTTAGCGCTCACAGCGTGGGTCGTTTTTTTTTACATTTTCATTTGAACAGGTTTAAAGGTTTTATTTCGAATGTAATAAACACCACCCTCACTCAATGGGGGCATCAAAACATTGTACGAACTAATTTTCCAAGTCCATAACAGAGGTTGTTTTTAGGTTGGATCTCGTAAACATGAATGTGTCGTTAAACCCGCCACACAGGCAATTACTGAGATCTGTCGCATAAACAAAACGTGCCGATTCGTCACTGGTTCAGCACACCTGTGTTGGACAGCAAGCCCACAACATTTACAATTCGAGCTTCGACGTTTCACTGGTAATTACGAGGCTCATCAGGCGACAGCCAGAGATGTGAAAGCCTACGTGTTAAACCCATTTTTTTCAAAGATAAAAGTGGGTAAAACACAGAAAGATACAGTGCACGTAAGGGGAAGCAATGGGGGAGGTAGTGAGTTCCGCATTCCCTCCGGAGCCAAAATCGGAATCATTACCGAGACTGCAGGAGGAATCGGATGATCTGTGAAGCTCTTTTTCACAGATATCCAGCATGGGCAGGTCAGCTACGGATACTCCGAGCGCACCGAGACCACAGCTGGCAAGGCCTTGCAGGTCCCTAGGAGCGGCGCTCAAGAAGGCACGGCCACCCAGCATGCACTGCGCTGGCGAGATGTTGTCTCTCTCGCCTGGTATGCAGGAGGTCGTGGGTTCGATCCCGACCCCGTCGCCCGCTGTATATTTGGAGTTTGCGTGTCTCTCTCTCCCCGTGGTCGCGTGGATTTTTCTCCGGGTCCTCCGGTTTTTCCATCCACATTTAGAAACACGAGTTCAGAGTATTTGGCTGCTAATATAAATTCCCACACATGATAAGCCATTGCTGTTGACTGTGCCTTGTCTCGGTGTGGTCTGGGACTATATTTGCTGCATTGTTGTCTTACCAAAGATTGCATTTATTTTGATTTAAAGCTTTCGTGACTGCAGTGATTCATATTCTTAGCTCTTTCGGTAAAGTCACGTTGAAGGGAAACAATAAAATAATAAAATATATAAAACAATCAAAATTCTCACGTTTCGACCAGGTTTTTCACACCTGATGGCGACCGTTTGTGTTATGGTCGAAACGTCGTGAGAAGTTTTGTGTTATATATATTTTATTATTTTATTGTTATATATACATTTTATTGTTTCCCTTCAACGTGACTTTACCGAAAGAGCTAAGAATATTGCATTTATTGTTGAAAAATCGGCAGAAATTCATGTACTTATGCAATTTGTACTTCATTTTTTTGGCGACTTACATTTTCTCGAATTTGCACTCCTATCGTTTTCCGTATTGTTGTTGTAAATTGCCGACCCGCCCCTTACCGGACATCTGTGGGGGGGGGGGGGAAAAAGCTTCACAACTCCCCGGATTCCTCCAGTAAGAAACACCAACATTCTGACGCAGGCTCGGTAACCACCGTCCACCATCGCCGAGTCCGTCCATTCACCTTGACCCAGTGCCACTCCACGGCGTCGCTCACGCGCCACGACGGGTACAGCTCCCGCTTGACGAACTGCAGGAGCCTCTGGCGGTTGGTGACCCAGGTGAGGACGAGGCAGCCCGGAGATGCCAACGCCGGCACCGGCAGCCGCGCGATCTGCCACTCTGGCAGCGCACGGTACCTGTCGGAACGCGGCGGTGCGGTTTTGTCATCGCAGCAGCAGCGGCGGCAGCAGCAACACGAGTGGACGTTCTGCATTCCGCCAACGACGAGTGGTTTGTGGGGTGGGGCATTTTCTTTTTTTTTGGAGACAACCTTCCAATTATTCAAGTTGAAAGGCAAACTGAAACTCGCGCTCCACAATGCAATGCTGATTTGTCATTAGCTGCAACTCCACACTGCAGCCAGTCCCAGTTTAGTTGGCTTTCATCATGCAGCCCATACAGAACTGCTTCCTCAGGTCGCCGGGTTTGAAGCAGTGCGCAAACAGCCGTGCCACCGCTCCTCAAGTACAAACGAACGTATACGCATACGCGCGCTCGCACACCTTTTGCTCCTCTTGACCGACTTGTTTTCCCAGGGCGGGTCCAAAACGATCAAATCGAACGTCCCATCTGAGAGCAACGGAGCACACGAGGGGAAAAGCACTGGGTCAACGGCGCATACCTGCGTGCGTGTGTAGTGACATCGGGGATGTCACTGTATGGGGCCGGCCTGAGAGGGCCACGGCACGTGATGCACCGTCATCGCGTACACCCCGTAGGCGGGTGTAGTACCAGCCCTAGCGGGGCTTGGCGTGTGCTGGGATAGCGCGAGCACCACGCATAGCGTGTGGTGCGGGCTCCCACGAGGGGGAGTGGGAGAGTGTCAGCCCAGGGGCAGGGTTGCCCCAGGCCATGGCACTCTGGTTGACCCTACAGACACGTGATCTGGAGTGTCCACAGAGAGGCCCCCAGGTAGGGGGACTAGGGGGTGATCACGTGTCTGGGGAGAGCTCTCGAGAGGGATCGAGAGGGAGCTGGATGGCTCCAGAAGAGGGCGGGGCCAAGGGAGGAGCAGCCCCGACCCATGGGGGGATATAAGGCGGGTCCCTGAGAGGGACCGGGGTCGCTGAATTCTACAAGCTGAAGCTCCACGTCCTCAAAGCTGGAAGCTCTACATCTACAAGCTGGAAGCTCTACGTCCTACAAGCTGGAAGCTCTACAGCCTACAAGCTGGAAGCTCAACATCTACAAGCTGGAAGCTCTACATCTACAAAGCTGGAAGCTCTACGTCCTCAAAGCTGGAAGCTCTACATCTACAAGCTGGAAGCTCTACGTCCTACAAGCTGTAAGCTCTACGTCCTACAAGCTGGAAGCTCTACGTCCTACAAGCTGAAGCTCCACGTCCTCAAAGCTGGAAGCTCTACATCTACAAGCTGGAAGCTCTACGTCCTACAAGCTGGAAGCTCTACGGCCTACAAGCTGGAAGCTCAACATCTACAAGCTGGAAGGTCTACATCTACAAGCTGGAAGCTCTACGTCCTCAAAGCTGGAAGCTCTACATCTACAAGCTGTAAGCTCTACGTCCTACAAGCTGTAAGCTCTACGTCCTACAAGCTGGAAGTTCTACGTCCTACAAGCTGGAAGCTCTACGTCCTACAAACTGGAAGCTCTACGTCCTACAAGCTGGAAGCTCAACATCTACAAGCTGGAAGCTCTACGTCCTACAAGCTGTAAGCTCTACATCTACAAGCTGGAAGCTCTACGTCCTACAAGCTTGAAGCTCTACGTCCTACAAGCTGGAAGCTCTACGTCCTACAAGCTGTAAGCTCTACGTCCTACAAGCTGTAAGCTCCGCGTCCTCAAAGCTGGAAGCTCTACGTCCTACAAGCTGGAAGTTCTACATCTACAAGCTGGAAGCTCTACGTCCTACAAGCTGGAAGCTCTACGTCCTACAAGCTGGAAGCTCTACGTCCCACAAGCTGGAAGCTCTATGTCCTACAAGCTGGAAGCTCTACGTCCTACAAGCTGGAAGCTCTACGGCCTACAAGCTGGAAGCTCAACATCTACAAGCTGGAAGCTCTACATCTACAAGCTGGAAGCTCTACGTCCTCAAAGCTGGAAGCTCTACATCTACAAGCTGTAAGCTCTACGTCCTACAAGCTGTAAGCTCTACGTCCTACAAGCTGGAAGTTCTACGTCCTACAAGCTGGAAGCTCTACGTCCTACAAACTGGAAGCTCTACGTCCTACAAGCTGGAAGCTCAACATCTACAAGCTGGAAGCTCTACGTCCTACAAGCTGTAAGCTCTACATCTACAAGCTGGAAGCTCTACGTCCTACAAGCTTGAAGCTCTACGTCCTACAAGCTGGAAGCTCTACGTCCTACAAGCTGTAAGCTCTACGTCCTACAAGCTGTAAGCTCCGCGTCCTCAAAGCTGGAAGCTCTACGTCTACAAGCTGGAAGCTCTACGTCCTACAAGCTGGAAGCTCTACAGCCTACAAGCTGGAAGCTCAACATCTACAAGCTGGAAGCTCTACATCTACAAAGCTGGAAGCTCTACGTCCTCAAAGCTGGAAGCTCTACATCTACAAGCTGGAAGCTCTACGTCCTACAAGCTGGAAGCTCTACGTCCTACAAGCTGGAAGCTCTACGTCCTACAAGCTGGAAGCTCTATGTCCCATGAGGCAACCACGTGGTCGGAAACCCAAGTGAGGGTCTGACCCTTCGTTGCAGTAACTCCTCCGTATAGAGTAGTTAGCTGGGTGATCACCACCCTAGGCTGTATCTGGTGAAGGGGCAGTTACCCCTTTGTGTTACGTGTTACAAATACATGTTTTGCCTCTAAAAGGAACAACGTCTGCGACTCCGTTGGACTCACTCCACGTGCATACGTACCGGGTGCACGGCCCACACACGGCATCACCCACAGCAGAAGTCATCACCTACCCCACACGGATTGATCACGCTTACTCGGCACGGGGTGTCTGTGACTGCCAAAAGGGACGTACAATAGGGCGCACTTTTATTCAACGGTCCTATTTTATAGTGCCGCATGTTGCTGGCCGTTCGGCGTTTCGCGCCCGTGCTCAGCGATCGTCATGATAATCAAATCTGCGTTCGAATGCAAATTTGTTGTTTTCTTTTGTATTCATGGAGCGCCTTCACTCAAGGCGCTTGACATCTTTTTTTTATGGTGACAGAACGGAATTATTTAGATGACAGGAGCATGCAAAGGGTTGAGAGATGAGTGATGGCGATAGAGGGGCATACTTGGGGATCATGGCAGGGTAAGGGGGAGGGACGAAATCGAGTGGAGGAGCGAAGGGTAGGGAAGAGGAAGCGAGTGGGGAAAGAGAGAAGTGGTGAGGCTTTGGAGGAGAGGAACGGAATGCGGTGAAGGACTGAGACTGCTTACTCTACTGGGGAAAGTTTATTCCAGTGGAGGGGAGCAAGGAGGGGGAAGAACCCAAACCAGGATTGAGCACAGGGACAAGGGACGGAGAGAAGATTTGGAATGAAGAGGACGAGAGGGGACACGGAAGGAGATCAGAGGTAAGATGAGGTGGGGCAAGGCCATGGAGACATTTAAAGACCAGCGTCTTATCTAACAATAAAAAAAACAATATGGTTACATACAACGGATACGCTGCCTTTTTTCAATTCACCGTTGAATGGATCGCGGACTCTGCAACGCATTTCAACCGAAAGTCCCGAACCACGGCCCCATTCGCGTCAGCTTTCAATGCGCGCCAATTCTCTCCGCCCGTGCATGAGACTGGTGAACCGACAAAATAGAGAGCTTAACACGTCGGCTTTCGCGACCAATATCATCCATAATAAGTTTTTTTTGGGTTAGATCGCGTAAATATATAAATGTGTCATTAAACCCGCAACCACCCGACACAGCCAACTAGTAAGGGTTGTCACGTAAACAGAACATGCCAATTCGTTACTAGTACAGCACACCGGTGTGTTGGAGAGCCAAGCCACAACATTTACAATCTGAGTACGACGTTTCGCCAGTAATTACAACTAGCTTCATCAGGCGACAGCCAGATTTGTGGAGAAGTCCACCTGTTTTGTTTCTTATATAGAGGCGTAGATGTGGTGACCACCCTTCTGCACTCTTGCGCTAAGTGGGGTGGGGGGATTAATGAGGCAACGCACATTATGCATGCGCATTATGCGGGAGTAACTGATAAACTAGCCAAATGTTTGGAAAAACAAAACATCCGAGTCAGATTTGGCACGGTACATAAAATACAGAAATTAATATCTGGTACAAAAATGTATTACCGAAGCTATCAACAAAAGGTGTGTACAGGATTAACTGCACTTGTGGCAAATGTTATGTTGGGCAAACAGGACGAATGAAAAACACGAGACCAAAAGAACATCAGAGAAATATTAAATACTCCCAAATACAACTGTAAGCAGTAGCAGAAGAACACGCGTACCAACAAGGACACTCAATTGATTTTGATGTTGAAGTTCTGTGCAAAACTAGCTACAACTGGCCAAGACTAATTCGAGAATCTATCAAAATGTAAAGAAATAAAAAATCATTTTAACCGTTCGGATAGTACATTTTTAAATGCATGCCTATTAAGGGCACTATACTTCAATAGGGATTACCGTTGGTAGGCTGTTTTAATACACGCAATGGACAGGAAGGACAAGATCAAAGGGCTCGCATAATACGCATGCACAACGTATGTTGGCTCATTAATCCCCCCCACCCCACTTAGCGCAAGAGCGCAGAAGTGTGGTCACCACATCTACGCCTCGATATAAGAAACAAAACAGGTGGACTTCTACACAAATCTGGCTGTCGCCTGATGAAGCTAGTTGTAATTACTGGCGAAACGTCGTACTCAGAATGTAAATGTTGTGGCTTGGCTCTCCAACACACCGGTTAGTGCTGTACTAGTGACGAATTGGCCACGTTCTGTTTACGTGACAACCCTTACTAGTAGGCTGTGTCGGGTGGTGGTGGGTTTAACGACACATTTATATATTTACAGCGATCTAACCCGAAAAAAACCTCTATTATGGAAAACTGATAGCGTGAGCTCACACCACGCGTGGCTCTTGACAGCCGTGCGCGTGTGTGTGTGCGTGTGTGGCAATGCCTGAATACTCCAAGGGCGCCCACGGCATGCGACACTTACTCCGGAAGGGCTGCGATGAAGCTACATCGAGATCAAACATGAGCCACTTTGCGAGACCAAAAATAGAAATCCACCGAGGAGCCGCCTGGCAAACGTTCGCAAGCCAAGTTTCCAAACCCCCCTGCTGAGACGACGGGGGAATGTGCGTCTGCGATCCGTGACACATTCTTATTTACTCAGAATTACTCAGCCCGGTCGGCTTGGGAGCGGCCCCGGTAAACCTGAATCGCTCCCCATGTGCCTGCGGGTTTGTACCCACATGATCTCCGACACGTTGAACCGACCGACGTTTCGCGTCCACGTCCTGTTGCGAGCTTCTTCGGGAGCTGAGTGGAGCGGCTCGATTTGCGCCGCGCTGCCAGCTGCTGCTGGCGTCCGATTTAGGCTGCCCCGAAGTTATTTATAACAGAATTAATAAAGCAGGACATACGTCTCCTGCACATATTCATCTCTCTCCACGTACAAACAATTAAAGCATTTCTTAAGCGACTCGTCTGCACGCATAATTTCAGCAGCATTGCTTTCAACACAAGTGAACTCAACCAGTTTCGACATTCAGTTCTCAATCGGCAGTCAGGCTCGCTTGAAAAAATGCTGGTAGACCGCCGATCTTACAGGCTCTCTTTACGGTATGGGTGTCCTAGATGTACATTTTTCTCAAGGTCACCTGTTCATACAAGATCACCACTTTCGTGCGTACGTGCTGAATGCTGGGCATTGCGCGGAATAATACGCTCCAGAACCCAAAAAACACAAGACACCGCTTCCGCACTAAGACAAGCAGTATTAAAAATAGATGTTATCTTAATGTTGTGAACTTCTCATCCATGATGCCTAAAATCTACAACAATGGATGTACCTGTTACCTGCCAATTATTGAATACTCCACAGTACGTGCCAATTTGAGATATTTTCATTTGCGGATACCCAGCTGATCGCTGCCATCTGAACACTTAAATTCTGCACCACCCTCCCGCCCACCCCCCGCTAAAACCACCACGGTTCGTCCCCGTGAGACAAGACAAGCCGGCACGAGACGTCTTACACTGCAGCAGCGGTTCTAGGCGAGCGACGTCAGAGAGGAGGAAGCTGCACCTGGGCGGCAGCACGTACTCGTGTCCGTTAAAATCCACGACGCTCGGCCCCCGCCGCCGGTTTTCCACCACGCGGCCCACCGCCGTCTTGGCCGTCAGCTCTGTCGTCCCTGCTCCCGTGTCCTCCAGCACCAGTACGTCGCTCGCTCGCTCCGGCAGACGCCCCCTTCCTACGGCCTCGTCGGCGTCGCACAGCTCGGCCAGCGGATCCGGTTCCGCGGCGACAGCTCCGTCGCGACAGGCGCGGCAGCAGACGTCGCGACACCCGGCACGGCTTGACGGTGCCGCTGCACCTCCCGATTCCTTCACGTTGGGCGTCTCGGCGGCAGGAGCCAGTCTGTGGTTGCGCTGGGTGCCGTGTCGCGGTTCGTGTTCCTCAGCGGGGACGTAGTCCGTGCCGGGACAATGTCGCCGTGGTGATGGCGGCTCGACAGGGCCCGGAATCAGAGTGCGAGGCAGAAGGAGATTCCGTTGACGTCCCAGGTCCACGAGATTCCTCGAGCCCTCCAGCACAAAATCTCTGATCTGAATCCAAACGCAGATTTTTTGACGTACACTTTTGTGTTTTTTTTGGGTTCGCACACTGGGCTTGCAATCCAGAGAATGCCGGTTCAATCTCCCGGGGCGGTAGTGGCAAATTTCTTAAATCCGCCCACCGTCTCTGAGCACCCAGTCGTATAAATGGGTAAGGCACAGATATATTGGTCGGTCATGTGTGGTGGGGTAAAGCGTGGGTACTCCTGCTGTTTCCAATATGTCTGGCCAGCATTGAAGTATAAACCAAATACCCACCGGAGGAACTCTTTCTAGCTCACTCTAGTGGTGGCCCTTCCGCCAGCAGTGGCGTGAGCGTGCAGTTGCCGAGAGATACACCTTCCCACATTGCGTGCAAGGTCACCGCATGAGTAAGGGGGATTATGCGTTTTTTTACTTGTTCAATCACACACGTGCGGTGTGTTTTATACATTCCAAAAAAATGAATTTTCTAAATTTCACACAGCAACGCACTCTACAAATTAACTTCGTATAGCGTACCGTCACGTTTCCCTTACAATATATTTTTGCAAATTCAGTCGCTGTCGCCGAATGTTACCGTTAAACACAACTTACCGTTTGGTGGTAAGCCAAGGCATCAATCTCCCCCTGATTCATGTCGTTCCTCTTTCTTTTGCGCTTTCTCTGCAAAAAAAGAGAGAAAAAAGCGACTTTCAATTACGTTTTTTTAAATGCACGAACCCAACATTCCTTTGACTCGTTAATCAATCAGTCGAGATAGTGACACTACAAGGCAAAAACAACATAAAATATTAAATATTCAAATAGGTAAAGGTGCAGCCCTGCAATTTGCTCGCTCACGCCACTGCTTGCGGAAGATCCTCCACGAGAGGGAGCACTAGAGAGCCGACAATAGGAGGTATTTGGCCACACGTTACCTCACTACACCAAATGACTGTGGTGTAACTATTTATACTGTTGGGTGGATAGAGGCAGGGGGGTTTTTAACCTTATCAAACCATATTCTTGGTTCTTTCGGTAAAGTCACGTAGAAGGGAAACAATAAAATAATAAAAATATAAAAACAATAAAATTATCACGACGTTTCGTTTCGTCGTGAGAATTTTATAATACGTTTCATCGTGAGAATTTTATAATACGTTTCATCGTGAGAATTTTATTGTTTTAAATTGTATTATTTTATTGTTTCCCTTCTACGTGCCTTTACCAAGAATATGAATCCCTGCAGTCACGAAAGCTTTAAATAAAAACTTATCAAACCAGTTAACTCTGGATCACTAGTTCAGTATGCTAATCATTAGCCCATGGCAGCATTCCTCATCACGGTACATGGAATGTAATCTTGCAAAAAATATTTTCACGTGAGAGGATTACATTCCACGTGTGAACGCGAGGACAATTCAGCAACACAACGAATATCATAACATGTGACCGGCAAAATACTCAGAGTATTGCGTGGTGCTCATACTAACCCAGTCGTAGAAATTCCACATTCATGTGTTGGGGCCCAGTCTAGCCAAAATAAAACCACCACGACCTTCCCTCTCAAATGGTGGAGCATCACATGATTGGCACCTCCGATTAGCGCGTTTGGCTACGTACGGTGCAAAAGAAGTTCGACATCCATATATACATGATCAATTAATCTAAACTGCAGAGCAAATGGGTTAGTTCGGTCAGCTATTACCTAGACCTAACCCGTCATTAGCGTTGTCATTGTTCTGTAAATAAACTGAAGAATGTGGAATAATGTAAATTTTATAGATAAACAAAATAAATGCTTCAAGCCCATCAGAAAATCCTTCCAGACATCCATATCCATTGAGCCTCAGCCTTCAATCTCTCCATTAAGATGACGATGAGAAGTTAGGATTAAACCGTAGTCATGCATTTTGTTATTAAGTTGTAAATACCAAGCTGCATTCTCTTGAGTTACTACTGAGTTTCAAATAAACGTCTTAGATGCTAATTAAAATGTAGCATTTTATCAATGAGTTATTTGTTGTATAATACATTTTATATAGCGTCATTCATGCCAACAGCATCACACAACGCTGTACATTAATTATATGAGGACCAAATCCCCATATACGTGGTTGGCTATGTATGGCACGAAAGAAGCCGAACACACACACATACATACCGAGCAAATGAAAACTCCTACGGTTACCGAGCAAAATACAAAAAATGAATAAACAAATTAAGAAATGGCACCAAAACAAAAAGCACAAACAACAACAAAAAGTGATCAAAACAAAGTAAGGCAAACATCCCCCATGACCGTGAAGGATTGTTCCCACACCATTAAGTCCAGCTTCTGAATTTGATACTGCCATTGGCCCTCGAACTTTCCGCTGGCTTGGAATTCTACCTTAGCGGTACTGCCCAGCAGCGCGAGGGTCCCATCTCCTCCGTCCTCCACCTGCCTCTCGCCGCACTCCACAGTGTCCGCACTGGCCCCGGCAGCGATGTGGGGGCGCGGCTGGTGAAAGTACTGCGCATTGAACCGCAACCCCGAAGCCAGGCTGTCCGCCTCCGCCGTGCTCTCCACTGCCGAATTCACGTGGGCGAGGTGATCCAGCAGCCAGCCGAATTCACTCTCGGCGACGATGGACATTGCAGAGTCCGCTGCGGTCACTGGGTAGGGGTGTTTTGTTTTCTTTTGTCCCGTGCGAATTCCTAGAAGGGAAGACAAACGGTACAATTCTAGATTTAAAGCTTTCGTCACTGCAAGGATCCATACTCTTTGGTTCTATTGGGTAAAGTCAGGTAGGTAAAAAATAAAATAAAAAATCACGACGTTTCGGCCACAACACAAGCGGCCTTCATCAGGTGAAGGTGATGGTGTGGGAACAGTCTCGTCCCTTCACCTGATGAAGGCCGCTTGTGTTGTGGCCGAAACGTCGTGATTTTTTGTTATTTTTTACCTACGTGACTTTACCCGATAGAACCAAAGAGTACAAACGGTACAAGTTTCTCACCATGATGCACTTAGTTTAAAAGGTGCAACCCTGCCATTGCTTGCTCGCTCAACATGCCGACAGAAGTGCCTCTGCTGGAGGAACATTTCGAGTGCCCTTCTTTGGGGGTCCTTGGTCTCCTCTTCAACGCTGGCCAGACGTCTTGGAAGACGTTGGGGGTTTGGTGGGGGGTAACCCCCGCTTCCCCCCCCCCCCATCAAACACGACATGCTGATCCAACTTTGGTGTTACCCATTAATAATACTACAGGGTGGACCAGAGGTGGTGGGGGGGGGGGATTTAAGAAATTCGCACCATCCTCAACAACCAACCACTTCGGCGGCACTGCAAGTACAATGTGCCAACCATTAACACCACGGCACCATCCAATATCGAGGAAAATGCCCTCGACACAGCGAAAGAGATGTGTCAGAGAAATGAGCCGGAGATGATTCGACGCGTGGCAAACTTTGATGGGAACGAGCGGGACCGTCAATCCCGTCGCGATTGTTGTTGTTTCCTCCGGCCACTTTGTCAATCCACTGCTAGATGAATGCCCTCCCCGGGCAACTGGGTTTTGGTCGTGGGGGTTTGTTCGACCATACTTCACTGCGCGGGTTGGTAATGGCGTGTAGTGCCGCCCACGACCAATTAAGATAATTATAACAATTTACATTCATAAAGCGCCCTTAAACAATCGTTCTCAGGGCGCAAATAATGTAATACGATTGTACTGCACATTCGATTGTCAAAGTAATGTTAATGCAATATATCACTGTACTACTTACTATAGTTCTGATGCATCACTTATAACGTACAGCAGCACTGTATATTGCATGAGTGCCATGATATTTACTCCGCATTTCATGACTAATTAAATGTTGCCGCTGTACCCAATGCATTAAAATTGTGCGAATGTAATATTATTGCAATGCAATGTGCGTATTACTGTGCACTTCTTCGTATGGGCCCGAGGTTGACGTGCAGCGGCAATAGCTTATATAACCTTACGTTGCGGTGATTAATGAGCCAAATAATTGCCGCAGGAGGAGCGAAGGGCATCGCTGCGATGCATCCGTCGTTTAAGTTCCGCAGTGCGAGCCCATGGGTCTCTATATATGCCGAGTCTACGGCTCTGTATGTGAATGTACAGGATAGATCTCCGTGTGAGTCTATGGGTTTCTGTGCGAGTCTATGGGTATCAGTGTGCATCTAAAGATATCTCTTCTTCGTGTGGATAATGATGATGTCGAGCAACAGCTGTGACTTTAAATTGAGGTCCACAATAGAGGTTTGTGGGTGAAATCGCGTAAATATAAATATGTCGTTAAACCCGCCACCACCAATTAGTGAGGTTCGTCACGTAAACAAAACGTGTCAATTCGTTACCAGTTCAGCACATCGGTGTGTTGTAAGAGCAAACCGCACGACATTTACCCCACAACATACGAGCCAATTAATTGTCTCAGGAGGGCATTGAGACGTCACGCGGTTCTTCTGTTCTGCGTTATCACGGTCGCCTTATCCAGAACAAGAGACCGTGCAACTTGACAAACGAAGCCAATGCCGAGAGATCCACAAAATACGCAGGAGACGTCACAGCGATGATAACACGACTACCTCCGCTTTCTCCTGACGCGGCCGTCTGCTCCCTTGACCACCTGAATGTGAAAGTGTAGCCGTTGCTCTGCATCTGCATCAGCGGCCGTACGACGACACGAAGAAGCAGAGCACAGTCGCCGCAAACTCTCGGCTGAGTTTTCAATCTCCCGGCTGAGTTTTCAATCTCCCACTTGTGCATCAAGCATTCGCGTCGACCATCCGAGTGTAATGCCACTGCATCCACACAACAACTGTGCTGCTGCTGCACATGCATCTACGATTGCATTGTTAATGCCGTAGCAATGTTATGTTATTGCATGATTGCGTTGCTGTTGTTGTTATTGTTGTTGTACCCTGAGTAGGAATTGCTGAGTTTGATTTCCCTGGTGCTGTGCTAACGCACGTGGAGCCACCGGCGGTGACGTAGGGACACGCACTTATGTCCGTGTGAAACCCGTACCGGAATTAAATCAATACGAACAATGGTTCCGGGCACAATTATGTGTGTGGGGGGTGGGGTTTTCTTTTTTTTTAATGGATTTTTAATGTAACTTCGCTGTATGCGAATGCGAAAGTCTTCTTCATAACAATTATTTTTGTTATGAAGAAGTTTATTATTCCAGTGCAAGTTGCCGGTATTGTATTTGCGTATGTTGTTTCAGCAGAGTATTTAAATAATATATATTTTTGACATTTTGGTAATAAGAAAGACTAGCCTTTTGCCCGTCCTAGGACGGAAGCTGTAATGTTTAGGAAAAAAAAATAGCATAATTGTATCTCCTGTAAATTTAATGGCAGTGAATCTTGGAAAAAAGAATGTCATCAAACACTGCACTGCATTTCACTGTAGCACTGTATTAATGGCAGTGATTATTGCACAAAACTATGTCATCAAACAACTCACTTCATGTCACTGTAACACTGCATTAAACTCACCTTCAATTAGTAAAAAAATCACTGCTCTGATACTTTATTTTTTTCGTCTGCTTTCGCTCGCTGGGGTTGTAATCAATTTGAATTCGATACAATGTCTGGAAAATCACAGAGAAATGGAAATATGTTATCATAATTTTAAAAGCAAAAATTAGACTTGCCTTTTGTTTCAAGTGCTGAAGAAATAAATAAACACACCATATACACTTTGTTGCTGCGTAGAATTATTTATTTGATTAACTTTCAATGAACAAACGTCAAATTTAAAGCGAATTTGCGTAAATTTTTTTATTATTCCGCGCTACCTGCGTGAGTGTTAAAATCCACCCGCTCATGAATATTCATGAGGTGGGGGGCCTCTTTTGCAGTGACGTCACGTACGGATGTAGTGCTGTGCTGGGTATATTTATGTTTTACCGTCACTTTCTGTAAAGAAACGTCATATTTGAAGCGACTTTGCGGAAAAATAAATATTTTCCGCTCGACCTTCGAGTGTAAAAATCCACCCGCTCATGATTATTGTATTATTAATGACGGTGGGGGGGGGGGGCGTGGCATGTGGAGTGACGTCACGCGCGTTACACACATTTATGGGCTATTGTAGTACTACAGTAATTGGTTCCAGACGCAAGAAATCTATCGTGGTTCTCACAATTTTCCTCTTTGGCTTATCACTACCACTAACCTTCTTGGGAGACATTGTGTATGGATAAACACCAAACAAACAAAAAAACACACTAAAATAACGGAAATTAACGAAAAAGTTCAGGAACGATGTTTTTTTTTTGCGGGTAAACTGCACTGGCTGAGAGCTACGCGTTAACTGAGCCTCTCGCACAGTGAAACCTTTGTCCGGGCAAGCGTCGTGCTAACTGCTGGCCACACGCGTCGCGATTGCCCCGTTCGACCTCCGAATTTCGTTCGGTTTCCGGGGCAAAAAAATGTTGGGAAATATCGTTCTAGCAGCGATTTGTTCGAGTTCTGGCGCGTTCGATCTCCGAGGCTCCACTGTATCTTGATCTGAAGCTTTCGTGACTGCATCAATCCATACTCTTTGGTTCTTTCGGTGAAGTCACGTAGGTATAAAATAAAATAAATCACGACGTTTCGGGCGCAACACAAGCGTCCATCATCACCTGATGATTTATTTTAGTTTATAGCTACGTGACTTTACCGAAAGAACCAAAGAGTATTGTAGTAGTAATTCCACGAACCCCCTGTAACCCCTTATTCCCTCCTACACGGAAGAACGCTATGGGAATTTAACGTTAAGTAATTTAGATCATTAACACAGTGTTACTAGATTGGGTGAATAAGTGGGGGGGACAGTGCAGGAATGTGAGGCCCTGTTAATTCAGTTAAAAATTTTAAGGAAATGTAAAGTCAAAGTGATGTCTTGCTCCTATAAGCGTGAAGGCGATGTTAATCTGTTTATAGGCTTGGGACGGTGATTGAAATTCCACATTACTATGGCAGGGGGCGAGTCTTTGATACAATGCTTACTACCGACGACTTGCTCAGAAAATGGTACTCGATAAAACATTCAACGACACGGTAACCAACACACTAGCTCTACAACGGCCCTCACGGACAATTGGAGTTGCGGGTATTAGGTGGACGAAATAAATGTAATCTTCATCATGTTTTTGTGCTGTTGTTCCTCGGCAATGCATTGAGAATCTTGAAACGATTGTCACAACACAATGATCAAATGAGTGCCCTGCCAATATGCGGTAAACCAACAGTGCTTGTGCTATGGAAGGGCTGGCCCCCACCATATGAATGTAGAATTTCCACAAATGGCTCAAGGCCACCATAGGCAATGAGCGTGAGACAGACACTGTCTTCTGTTTTTTAATCTCTTGAAATGTCAAAACGTCCGAAAGTAGAACCCGTTTGAAAATAAGCCTTGAGACTCAGATGTGTTCCTTTGTGTAAACGTGGGATTTCATTCAACCCTTTACAATAACCTGTCCTTGGGAAAATTTAACGATAAATCCATCTCAGGGCAATTGTGCACCGTGTAAACACGGGCTAAAGGTCAAGGCGCATCCCTGCAATGCCTTGCTCACGCCACTGCTGGCGAAGGGCCTCCACTAGAGGGAACTACAGGAAGCCCCCTCGGGAGAATAGTTGAGCCGACTTTGCCACACTGGCCAGAAGTCTTGAAAGAGGTTGGAGTACAGACACTTGACCCCGCCACACGTGACCTGCCGATTGACTCGCTGTGGTGGACACATTTACAATGCTGGGTGGACAGAGGCGAGGAAATTAAAGAAACTCGCCATCCTCACAAGCAGCTTGTGGCTGCCCATCGAACAAAGTGGGTCACCGCATCGCGCACTTTCAGATGCGCTTCTGCGGCCGTCTGGAACGCTCTTCCCTTCCGATATCAGGAAGATGCTGGAGCTATGTACGTTTAAATCAAGAATAAAAACGCATTTATTAAGGGCTGCTTTTCGTGTTTAGCTCGTTGTCCTTCCTCCGCACCTCCGATTAGAACGGTTGGCTACGTATGGCGCGAAAGAAGTTCAGCATTAATTCATACATACAAACCTGCTGCATTGCTTCAACTGGCTTACTGGGAGATCGAACAGGAAGCCTCTGTGCTAACCATGACACCACGACAGCATCCGACTAATATTCGTGCTAGGCAATAAATCAGGGATTTCATAATGCAGCCAGCAGTTAGGCGACGGCAATTACGTGACCCTACAAACATTGGACGTGTCAAACTACTGCGCTGTGTACGTGTGTGTGTAACCATCGCAGCGCATCAACTTTTCACATTTGCGTAAAACAAGGATATTGTGGCGTGTAAATTTTATGTAACGATGTGCAGCGGGACATATGGCTTATACAGTCAGTTTGAGAAACACCTTTCACACAAAGCCCTGAAAAACGCATGTGTGTGTGTGTGAACGGTAATGACAACCACATAACGCTCTCGATATTGGTAATTCGACGAAAAAGAACCGTAGCAGACCCAAATGAAAAATGCAAGAAATTACCCGAGCAATTCCCTCAATTACCAAAAGCATAAGCTTGTACATTTATTACAAAAGAGAAGTAATCATATATGTTCATTATATCAGTATGGCTCACGGTACAGTCATCATAATCGTCGTCGTGGTGATGCCAGACAGTGTTTTGTGGTGCCCTAGCCCAGAGGGATTCCACCCGGCTCATCTGGCATAAGGCACATCTAGCCACAGAAAGTGTTCAGGAGGGGATATTTAATTAACTCTCGGCGTATTATACACGGCATTTCAACAGAGTAATTGTGATGAAGACGCGAGTACAGTATTTAAATACCACGCAGCTGGGCTTTAAAAAACAATATTTAAAAAAATGGAGATGCGCTGCGTTAAATGTGTCGAATTCCTCTACCCGATCTCAGATTGTCTCTCCAGATGGCGGCGGGTCCCTGGTTGCAAACTCAGCGGTGAACATTTGCTTAAATTGTCTCTGCCAAGTGGCCTTTTGGTGGCAGCTGGCCAACGTAAAAGAAAAGCACTCGGCATTAATGGGCAAGCCGCTCCAAATGTCGTCCTTATACCTGCACGTTCAGAACAATTTCAACATTGTTGTTGCTTTTTGAACTCTGAAGAGTGTGGATTGTACTGGACATCTGTAACATACCTCGTCGGGTTTCTCCCGCAGTCTAAATACACAACATCCGATTCTGATTATAATTTTGTTTGTGAATCTATTGCACATCAATGGATCTCCTCCCTGTGATATATATTGTAAAAAAAAAACTCAACACTCTAATAATAGGGGTTTTCCCCCCTTGTTTATGGCAACAAAACTGAAACCTTTTTACAAGGATTCATGTCTGCATTAACCACAATACCTGCAGTCAAAATGCAAACAAAAAACATACTATGATAATATATGCATTGTCCTTGAAACTGATTGGTCCACACCAAAGGACGGCTTTCTTTTGAGCCTCGACCCAATTGGTGCACGACCAGATGACGCCAAAAGGCGTTGTTTGCATTTTGACTGCAGGTATTGTGGTTAATGCAGACAGGAATCCATGTAAAAAGGTTTCAGTTTTGTTTCCAGAAAAAAGGGGAAAAACCCTATTATTATATTTTGGTACTGGCAAAGGAGGTCTAATGATGTAGATGCTCAACACACACTCGTCAACAACGCTGCCTTAAAAGGAAAGTATATAATTTAACCGGCGACGTTTCAGGCAATGGCCCTTCTTCATAGCACATACACGTGCAGGCCTTTTTTCAGCTTTTATTACTCGTATGTACATGAATTAAGGTCTTCCAGAAATCTTTTATTTAATCATTAAAGTAACAGACAGCAACATTGCTTGGAGAAAATTATAGAACACAATTCACAGTTCGTTGCCCAATGAAATGCAAGTCGTTTTGGTCATGCAGATTGCTTGACCATACCTCACCGCGCTGGTTCTGGCGGGTCAATGAATGGGGCAGGGCCCAGGACGGGTTCAGCTATCGCTCGTGTAGGTGACGTTTCGGGCAACCGGTCTTCTTCATAG